GTGTGTGTGTGTGTGTGTGTGTGTGTGTGTCCAATCAGAGGCAGGCTCGTGCCGCTGTCCACCTTCAGGTGCTGAATACAGAGGTGCATCAGAGACAATCTGAGCAGCGCTCTCTGGAAAACTTCTTTGATTCGCTGTAATGTTTGAATGAAAATGTTTGATGGTCTCAAACATTCCCCCTCAGTCACCAGCAGCGTGTAGAGTGCAGCAGGACATCAGACTTTTTAGCGAGTGTCATGGAAGTGCGCTTCAAACAGGTGCCGCTCACCGTCACGCACAGTAAGTATCGATGTTTGTTTTTACATTAAAGTGATGAGGAGTCCCCTGCAGCATATACCCACGCACTATATGACACTTGTGGGTGTAGCTGTAACAACTGTAACAACTGCGTGTATTACTTGTCGTTGCTGCTCCGGTGCTCAGCGCACGGCGGAGTGAACCAGCTCGGCGGAGTCTTCATTAACGGGCGCCCGCTGCCACACGTGGTGAGGCAGCGCATCGTGGAGCTGGCGCAGCTGGGCGTGCGTCCCTGTGAGATCTCCCGCAGCCTGCGCGTCAGTCACGGCTGTGTCAGCAAAATACTGACCAGGTGAACCTCGTGTGTGTGTGTGTGTGTGTGGGGGGGGGGGTCTGTCTATAGTTGTGAGGGACACTTTTGGTTCCATCATTGTGAGAATATTGGTACTGGTCCTCAAAAGTTCAAAGGCTTGTTTGAGGGTTAAGACTTTAGGATAAGAGTGAGAATTAGACATTTAGTTGTAAAGGTTAAGGTAAGGGTAAGGGGCGATGGAATGCATTATGTCAATGAGTGTCCTCAAAACTATAGAGAGACGTGTATGTGTGTGTTTGCAACAGTCACATTATAATGGGGGACTTGGCTCTCTTATGGGGACATAAAGAAAGTCGACATAACACAATTCAGTAAGTTCTTTGTTGAACACAGGTTGGTTTAGGTTTGGGTTAGGGTTAGATTAACATTTAGATTAGGTTTAGGGTCCGGGTTAGGCAAGTATAGTTACAGTTAGAGTAAGTTAATAATAAATAGTAAGTGTGTGTGTGTGTGTGTGTG